ACGTATCGAAAAACAAATGTTTCTCCTGACGTCGACCGGTTTGTGGCTCAGAAGAATTTTCTAAATCGAAGAGTTAAAAATGTGGCTTTCTCCGTTCTTTTGAGAAGCCGATGGTTTTGCCTACGCTGCTACAGACATATGGAAGTAGTTTTTTTTGGTGCTATTCAACCACGTCCAAGCGTCACGTTCGGCAGATTTCAAAAAATTTTCGCCGGAAACTAAAATTGGATTCTGTACTTTATATTATGTAGGTACGAAAGATTTTGCAGAATTATCGCTAAACTTCTTGCGAATCTTTTCCAGTGTCGAGAAGCGAATTCTTCCATATCAGTGCACTTCGTTGCCCTGAATTTGTTCGAAATCATCAGGGTTCCTTTAGTGCAAATTTTTCGCTAATGATAAAATTAAAATCAAATTCGATGTCTTTAGCGATGGAAACTTCTGTTCTGCAATGCGCCACGCACGCGTATGTGGTTTCAAAGTCGCAAAAGCATTGATAGAGACTTTCAACCTTGCTATGGCTTGTGAATGTGGACCATTCCTATCCTTGTCGTGTTATTGCTGAACTCGACCAGAAGATACAACCCTCTACTCCTTCCCCGTTTCCACTACCGTTTATGAGAAATGTCGATATCGCCATGACTTCAGGCGGTGGCCTCCGCAATTAGGACCCCCTCCCATGATCCACGCATGGCTTCCTCCTCTGGATCGACCGTACGCACGACCGATCCCGCCTGAAACTTTGTCTACAGGGTTATTTCGGCGCGCACCACTAATACGGCAACATTTTTACTGTTTTGGTCAATATTAGCAGCTTTTCGCCAGTACTGACTACAACTGCGCAAAAACGGTCCAAACGATGCCGGTGCCCGAGAAAAAAATTTCGTATTCATGATCAAGGCACTAAATAGCCCTTCTGATTGGTTTGAAGCGAATCGTGGGAACGAGGGTGCAATACAAGTGGGGTGGGCACGTCGTAGTTTTTGAATACGGTGGGCGCGAAATGTTTGGGAGAGGGGGCTGCTCCCCGCTACTATAAAGTAACGACTGAGAGGATTTTGCGAGTCAGGGGGAGTGTAGCCAGTCTAGATGTGGGAACTGAGGGCACTCACTTGACATGTGTGAAATGGGAATGTGTAGTTCCTTCATAACGTCTCGTCAAGTCATAGTAGCCGTTTAAGGGCAATGGTCAACCGGAAGGCTTGGTGATTCAGCGTTTTGTAGTGTTCTCTGGGACTCTCGCACATGCACACTATTACAGCATCTCTGCTTTCTTTCCTTCCTTCGAAAGGCTTAGTCCCAGAAATGTGCTTTTCTGTCTGGACTCGCACACGTTGGTTGACCACTGCCCCGTAACCCATAGTAGCGGGCAGTATGTAGTCCCCACTAACGTACATTTCGTTCCTACCGTACTCAAAAATTCGGTGTGCTCATGCCACTTGTATTGCACCGAAATAAGAGTTGGACCATGGTATAGTAATCGGTGCTAACTTAGTTGGGGGGGGGGCACGCGGCGGCGCGGCAGTCTGCTCGCCTGGCATGTTCGGAAATCCGTGGGCCAGGGGGAGTGTAGGCAGTCTAGGGGGGGGGGGGGGCAGTCACTTGACATGCGTGAAAAGCTGGAATGTTCGAGTTTACACTGTCTCGCTCGAGAGAGCCCAGGTGAGCAGACTGCCGCGCCGCCGCGTGCCCCCCCCCAACTAAGTTAGCACCTAGTAATCCCTATCTGGGCTCAGATTACCACAATACGCTAACAATAAGTTCCGACAGAATTTGGACCATTGCACTGCTCAACCGCAAATGCCCACAGCCGTACAACATCAAAAAGAGGTCAACAATTGTTTCGACTTTTCCCCACTGAAACTTCAATTATAGGAATGTGACGCTGGCCCTACTGGGCTCCGAATTGGCACGGACTTCACGCCAAATTGCATTGAATTGGCGCCAAACGGTGCTAGGCGCACCGAAAATATCTTTAGATAGAATTTGATGCCTTTTTGACGTTGCAGGTGGCTGATGAGGGAAGAGTGCCCAAATTCCATCACTACTAAGGAGCAGCGGTAGTGATTAAACTGACGAAATTCGCTTCCGCGACAGTGCCACAGAACACAACTTCTAGATTTATTTCTGAACCATTGAGATCCGAAGCATAAGCAAAAAATATTACGGCCACCAGTTTCTGCGTCATACCAAAGATTACAACAGAACTTTCGCAAAGGAACACTAGGCAGATAATGGCATACAACGCTCCATATAGGTCGTCATTCCCAGAGGTGACGTCAACCACCTCCCACATTGGATGAATGACGATTGGCGCGCGTGATGCGTCGCGACGCGAACGTCGAAGACGCGGGACATGGGACATTGATTAGTCCGCGGGCGGCAAGAACACTACGAAATTGCCCACATTTGATTCTGTTATGTTTCTTATGACTGTTTGCTATTCATGTCTTGGTTCTCCACTGTCGTCTTCGTTTACGCCAATTCTGTTGTTCTCCATAATGTGGTTATCCATAAAGTAGTTCATTTTAGATCGCTTCAGTCGTCGATCATTGTCGCTTGAAGAAATAATCGGCAAGAACAAGGTGAAACTTGATGCATTTTTAGCAGTCATCGATTTCTTCTGCGTTGCGTCATTGTTGTTGTTTTAGAAATCCAAATCGGGAAGACTCATTGGCGGTTTTCGTAGTGATGGCGTAAGCAAATCAAGCACAGGGAAAAGTGGTGGAGCGCGGAACTTTGGGAGATTCTCAGATGTGAGTCACCTACTTGTTACATTCCTTTTACATTAGTACTATTACAATGACGGATATTACAATGACGGAGTGTCAGTGCGATTTTGGTTATCAAAAAAGTATCTCACCGGAGCTGCACCGGAGAGGCTGGTGTTTCCTATTCTTCCATCCGGTGTTAGAGTCATAATCCTGGTTACCGGAGTTGGGTATGGGAAGGAGGGCTAGGAACTGACAAGGGGGTGTGGCTCAATAGGACGGAAGTTCGACTTTTAGGACACTTTGCAGGAACCTCGGGTCCACTGATGATCAGAGGTGGACCTGAGGTACCCGCAGTGAAAAATGTCTCGCGCTGCGAAACGCGAAAATTTCGTTTTCTATTGTAGTGAATCACACCCTAGCAAGGGGGGGGTCGGTATTATCGGGTGAGTGACCTCGGACAAAGCCCTGGAGGAATAGGAACCCCCAGGCGTAGAAGAGTGGTTTAACACGTTGGCGACGATGTCGGTCAATGCTGACCGACAGGCAGTCTGTCACATGGGACGATGTCGGTCAATGGTGACCGACAGCTTGAAAGTAAGCAAACTTAGATGGAACCCGCGACTTTTCTATTTCAACGTTTACTTCAGTGTCCTAACTTACTACACTTGTCTGCGAATTATGATCTTTCTAATTCCTGGGAGTTTTATTCTGAATTAGTTATCAGTGGCAGAAACGCGCTGTCAATTGAATCACAACCACAAAGTTCCCACCGTCAGCAAACTGGAAATCTCACTAAAATTGTTCATATCGACCTTTACTAATTAGGTTACCGTCAGTAGAATGTCCATTACTAGCTTAGGTTCCCATGATGGTCAAGTAGGCTCAGTCTTACTCATAGGCAGGACAAAAGTACCTATCCAGTCCATCAACTGCCAAATATTTCACAAACAGGTTTTTTGACCTTGAAATGACTCGTTTAAATCACTTATTCGATCATGAAGAACAAGATAACAGTCAAACAAAAGCTCATTCCGTCAGGTACGCAAAGTTTTTTGCGTCATTCTTGAGTGAAAAATTCGTAGAAGATTTCAGATGTGATCAGGATACCAGTACCATCTAAAGGAAAGCTCATATTAATAATAAAAATGAAGAATGCGTGAAATTGCGCCTTCAGAACCTATTCTAACCTGAGGTTTGAAAATGCCAGGCGATGTCACTGAAATTTCACCCAGCATTCAGTAGTAACAACTTTTCCTTGTTTCTAAACGTGTCTGGAGTACTCTAGTCAAAGGCATTTTGTGCATTTCGAGATTTTACAGAGCTACAAATAAGTTTTGCCCTGTTGTTACCGGCGCTTTGCATGCAAAAAACGCCTCGTCCCATGCGCGCGACAAGGAAAAAATCGCTCGTCGTCAACGTGTTAAAGGCGAGTTGCCAAGTATAACTTCAACCAGGGGGGCGCGGGGGGGGAAGGACCATCCTCGGGCGGCGGCAGCTGTAATTGGTCGACGGACTACTTGAACTCGGCCCTTTAAGCTGCCTCACTCGACGCTTTCGTCTGCGCTCTCTCATCTTATCAGCGGCTGATCACCACTGCGATCTCACACATTCAAACTTTTGCCACAATGCAACTGGCTCACCCACCTCGGATTCCCTCCCCCTTACAAGGCTTAGTCCTAAGGCTCTCACCTCCCTCCTTGGGATTTGGAGCCGAGCCAGGCGCCATTCTCTGATCGTCTGTGCTCTCCGCCATTCGTGGCAGGACCATGGACGAAAGTGCAAGTAGTCCGTAAACCGCTGTACACGTACTCCTGCACGCTTAGTCCTCGATGGCCGCGTATTCGAAAGCTGCCACGGTTATGAACGAAATAATAATGCCCCTGACTAATGTAAGTCTGGAGGAGACAGACGAACAGAGAGCCCGCCGGGCGCCTCCCCAGACAATACCTAACCACTTAGGGCGCGGCCGCGGCGAACGCGGCCGAGTTGATAGTTGCCCGCGAACTCAGCACAGCACAGTTCGCGGGCACCTCGAGTGCGTTTTCAACGGTTCGCGGGCACAATCGACTCGGCCGCGTTCGCCGCGAGGCCGCGCCAATTGGTTTCGGTATCTGTCTGGGAGCCGCGCCGGCCCACCGCGTGGTCCCCCCAACTAAGATACCGGGGGTCTTTTAGGGCAAGCCGCGCTTTTTCAAAACGATATCTCACATATTGCAAAGACCCATATAGAGAGCTGTTTCATTTCCGGAGAAAGGTTTTAGCAGTACCAAAAGAGAAGAGCAAGGTGCTGCCCACGGTTCGATCCTTGGCGCGACTAAATTTTTACATTTGGGTGCTCGCATGCGGGCTAAATGCCAAAATCATATATCATATTCATGGTTAGGACCACATTGCAACTAAATGTAGCAGCCAACCTTGAATGCAAAATTTAGTCGCCACGGGATCGAACCATTGTGGGAGTAATATTCGTCATTTTTTGGCACTGTTAAAACCGTTCAGCGGAAATGAATGATGGCTCTGTGGTTTATACAGTAGAGGTCGAAGCGTTCGCCGGAACGATTTTTGGTGCATTATTTTTTCTCTCTTGAGCGACTGCTTCTCCAAAATTGAGATGCTGTTGTTTTTCTAACCCTGTTTTAATGTCCTCAAGTCTCACCCACATGGAATATCAAAGAACAAGGAACTTCCTGTGCCTCTAGTGGTTTTTTCTAGCGAACCAAAAGGAGAAGCACGCAAAAATCCTTCCGGTGAAACACTTTTGACAGCTGCTCTACATGCGTCCCTACAATATGCAGGGAACCGTTTCGAAAAGCGCGGCTTGCCATGAAAGGTCCTCTTTGTGAGGGTCGTGTGGGTATTTGCTCTCAACAGTGAAGGATCGTGTGGTGCACCTGTAGCGTAATCATGCTCTTTTTTTTCGCTTCGTATGAATTAGACGAATGAGCGATACTTCTTGGGTGAGTCTATGTTGTAAGTTTTCGTGGAGAGTGTTTTCCTGTAATCTGTGGGCAACATCGTAGTCATACAGTCGATATCCGAAAGTTGGGGTGGGTGTGTCACCGGAAGTGACGTGCACTTGATAGAAGTGCGTGGATAAGCTGTTGCCAGCATGCTTTGCTGATAGCCAGCGATGTATGTTGGAAGCAGCTTATCCACATAGTTTCTATCAAGTGCACGTCACTTCCGGTGACACGCCCACCCCAACTCACCGATATCGAGTATACCTTACCCATGATACTGACCACGATGGTTCCTAGCAGTAGTGTTGGCTGGGCAACAGGAAACCGTTGAATTTTCCATTCTGATATTCAGCACCGATTCTTTATTCCGAATTTGGACGCTCTCAGGGAATTCTGATAAGCAATACCGAGAAACTGCGTAAATGTGTTCAATTGAAGAGTACAAGTTCTTTGCTTGCGCTAAGAATGAAATCGTACTTCTAGGATTCCGAAGATTATTGTTGGCTTTAGTCGAGAACACAGTTACTTTCTGCAAATCTAATCAAGATATTTCTCTACATACCACAACAGTAAATTCTAATATGTAGTATGCTTTGGAAAATTATAAAGCATTTTTTATTTCAGCGAACTCCAGCAGGAAAGTGGAAGCATGACAAATTCCAAGACGAAAGCCGAGCTTTCCGAGCGAGAGGTGGTGCGATTGCTAAAGTGATCGCAGGATCGAGCAATCCCAACAAGAAAGTGCGCGTCAATCTGTCCAATCTCGGACCTAACGTCGTCTCTGCTGACCTTGAGGTGCCTCCATCGTTCCTTCGACGACCATCCGCGCCGCTCCACGTGGACTAGCGAAACTTGGGCTAGGTCGTCGGTCACGTCTTTTTTGGATATCAGTGCTTCGGTGGTGGAGACTTTTGCTTCCTCACGCATTTCTGTGGCAGAGTGACGACTTCTCTAATCCGCAGTGATGGTAAACGCTGATGGGCATCGAAGGAATCTCGTTTGGAATTCGTAAGTAGCTTGTACTTTCCTATGCTCTATATTTTAGGAGCTTTTCGGTCCATACAATATCGATACTGCAACGGTGCACTTCAACGAGCAGGGTATCTCACTTGGCACCGGCGACGTTTACTTGAAAAGGAAAGATGCTCTGCAAATGTTCGAAGATTTCAAAGGCGTTTCTCTTGATGGTATGTCTCGTTTCAGTTTTTTTTTTTGACATTTCTTCAATATTGAGTAGACCAGTCGTTCTATCCAGGCCAAAATTCCGTTAAGTTTAGAATATTCGCATGCTCATTGTTAGGCATTCAATCTTAACACTTTTAAAAATATGTTTTATATTTTAAGTGTTTTTTCTTTTTTGAACATCTTTCGCTTCCAATTAGCTTGTAAATACTGAAGTTCTAAACCTGTCTCGAAAGTTCTACTTTTTTTTCAGGTAAATTAATAAAGATGTTGATTGTCGATGGAGGAGAAGGTGTGGCTAATGGCATCGAGAGTCGACTGAGTAAATTGCCTCGTCAGAGCACACGAGGAATCCAGAAGACGTTTAGGTGAGCATTTTCAGAGGTGGATATTATGAACTGTTTTATGTATTGCTGTTCAGAAGAACAAGTGGAGGTGTTTCTAATTCCTTCCTCGACCGTATTGTGGATGACAAACCAAGGAGAGGGGGTATGCGTCGGCGTTCGCTTCCCGGTCGTGAAAGGAAATCGGTGAAGTCTGTTGCTGAGTTGGATGCAGAGCTGGAGTCGTACATGAATAAAGGACGGCCAATAGATTTGTGATTTTGTTGTAATCCAAAGTTTCGTTTAATCTCGCCCTTATTTATGACATTGAATTGATTCCGGGAGCAAAATCATCAGTTCAAGGTAGTCATGCAAATATTGTCGTATTTTTTGTTGTTACTTGAAGTTATCATTTCTATTCTCTGCTGTGAGCTGGTGTCCTCAGCTATATGATTGTAATTTTGTTCTGACAATAAACACGAAGTTGTAAACTTTATGTCCAGATAATTAGTACAATGGCAGTGATGAAAACAACGTTCAAAGATAAGTTATAGCATTTACTCAGCGTCAGAAGGTGCAGGCATTCGAACCATACCGGGAAGTTGTCGTGGCTTTTCTAAAAAGATTCTTCTAAATGTGTTGTTCAAAATTGCTTGACTTTGAGACATGGATTGTGATCCAGGGGCCGGGTGCAGCAAGCCCCAGCCAGGGATGGTCCCCAAAACTGCATCTCTGGACGAATCCTATTCTTGATCACGAGGACTGCGTCATCGACCGGTGTGGAGACGCAGTTTTGGGCACCCGTCCCCTGGCCGGGGCTTGCTGCATCCGGCCCCAGGATATCGGTAGCATACTTTGCACAAAGAGAGTGATCGGAGTGAGTTGTGTGTCCCCACGTTTGTCTTGTCTGTTGTCAGGAAAGGCTTCCAACTTACTATGTTACTTTGAATTTAGGCCTTGGCATATCGATAGAGCTTGGGATGTTGGTTGCTAATGTGAAATTCAAAGTGCTATGCAAACCTACCAAGGAAATTCTGAATGACCAAATTGGTCGAAAGTTCATTCTCCAGCGATGTTAAAATTTTTGTATTTTAGGTGAGCGCTTCAAAATTTGTCAGATGGCGCCAATGCGAAAAGTATATGTCATATTTGTAATCGAAACATCGGTATCCTTTGATAGAAGGCATTTACCTAACATTGTAATACCGACCTGGCATTCACAACCAACTTTGACCATACATCACTTCCTTGGCAGATTCTCATAGCAGATTTGGTCTCATTACCTAGGTCGTAACTCGAAGTTCCATGGGAAGTTCAAAGCCTGCTTTGGTTAAAGGCCTTCTTCAGAGATGCCTGCTTACGCGAAAAAAACGCACAGGGGAAGTAAAATGAAAATCTCTGCCTCGATTTAGGTACGCATCGGTTGGGATATTGAGAAGGTAGCGAGTCGAGCCGTTTTGGAGTGGGCAAACCGAAAACGACTGCCAGTGAGCTTTCTGTGGTATCTATTAGATACCTGTGACTCCTTGGAAGGGGTCATGCCCTCCAGTCGTTTCCATATTCCAAGCGGCTTCACTCGATTCGGGAACGAGGGTTGCAA